CAACAATTTTCAACAATGTCAGAAATTTCTTGTTGCAATAATAATTTTTAATAATTTAAGTAGAATTCTAAAAGTTACCATGTGCAATTTAAACAAATTAGTAATTCAAATATTCAATTAAAATTAATAAAAGCTTTAGAAAAGAAAGGGAAAAAAAATTATGTGATAATACTGTTGCACATAATGCGATCATAAATGACATTATGATTAAGCGCCAAATAATCAAACATTGAAAAGGTCATAAGTTTATAGGAAGGCGAAGGAAGTCGTTAAAATATAATCTAAAATAAATTTCATAATTTAATTGAAGTGTTTCAATTGAGACGATATGTTCATTATTTCTCTTTCTTTTCAATTCATTGCAATAATTCCCTCAATTAAAAAAATGAATCATAAACAAATAACGCTTACTTGGCTCAGGAAAGATAACAAAATCGTTTTAGCTTATTTTTTCCGGATTTTTATATGCTGATAAGCTAACATAAGTTTAATGTAAATTTTTTTAAAAATGGTTAAAATTATCTTTTTCTTCTGCAATTTTTGATTCAATTTTATATATCTGTTAAAACACATTTAATTTCTTTCTAACACTTTTTTTCTTTTTCAAAATAAACGGACGAAATAAAAAGGAAATAAATCGCTGCCAATTTTTTTTCATTCCAAATTTTTGCAAATAGTGTTGGTGAGAGAAGTAGAATTGAGTGTTTGAAATTACTTCGAAAACGATACTTTTGGGACTGTTTAAGACGTGTCATTCGATGTAGTTGAAACTTCAACAATCTCCGATTTATGCTTGCAATTTGAGCTTTTTCAAGCTTTTCTTGACAATCTAATACGATGACGATGTTATCATTTTTATACCCATTTAAAAGTATCAATAAAAGTTCAAGTGATTTTATTAAAATCAAATTTATGAGAAAAGGATAAAATTTATTTCCTTCCTAATTTATTACTTCCTAATACTTTTTTACTAAGTATTTTGGATTTTTGTTGCAGAAATGATATAATTTACTTGAAGTTTAAATTTACTAAGTAACTGGTATTGAAATATTGTTTAATATGCTGAGGTCAACATAGCATTAAAGTCTAATAATGTCTAATCAAATATATAATAATATGTAATGAAATAAGCTGAAATGTTAAATTTATGATTATTCACTTAAAAGTCCTCATAACAGCAATTTCCATAATTCATCAAACAATTTATTAAAGTTGAACTTATCAATTGCAATCTGCTACCTCCAGTTTGCTTAATTTCCATTCTGGTTTTTTGATTTATATGCTTCTATTGAACGTTGTAATTGCAAGAATTGGTTGCTATTTCATTTCCTCAAAATTTTCGTTTCACAGTAAACTATTACCTAGTTTGAAGAAAACAAAATTATTTCGTGAAATTTTTTTTTGCTATCAAATATTTCTCAAAATTTATTCCAGATATTCTAAGAAAAAATGGTGCGTTTAACTTTAATTGACTCGTTTAGTTCAACTTATTCTTTTTATGTACTTTTCTAACATCACATATAGTAGCCTTTCATGAATAGATCAATTTCATCTATCTATAACAAATCAATCAATATATCTTATCATTTAATCTGTCTTTTTATTTTTCTTTCCATGATTTCTCTGTGTGTATAATATACAGTTTCCCAAATTTCGAACAATATGTTTTGTTAGAATGGACCAATTATCCACCATCCACCTTGATCGTACCTACCCATACAACGTAGTTTATTGGCAGATAGAAATTGCTGATTGAGACATCCTTTCTTCTCATTTATTCATTCATTCAACTATATTCAATTATATCCTTGAAAATTACACATCATTATACATGCATGTATATATACGTTTCTGCACGCGTCTGTACGTAGATGCTTTTATATTAAACATGCCTTTTGAGTGGATGGGTGAGGGAACAGTGGAAATATTGAAGTAGACAGGGTGTCCTATCACATAGACTAGCCGCACTGTACATTAATCTATCCTGCTGTGAATTACTGTTGATGGCGGTACGGGTTAAAGGTTAATTGCAATTGGTGCAACAAAGTTACATGCATTACTGCATGGCTAATTTGAGCTACACGTTTCATTTTGTCTGATGCGCTAAAACAATTGGAAATTTGATAAAGTAATTGATTGACGGGAAAGGGTAACAAAAATAAATAAATGAGATGATAAGAAGGTATATGATTTGTATGGTGTAATTATTATGATGTGGGAAAGATTAGGGAAAGAGGTACTTGAAGGTGACCTTTGTCATCCCATCTGTTACTTCACCTCCTTGAATTAATCCTAATCAAAGGATGATAGAGTAATCGGCTTGTTGATTTGTTAATGAACAGTGATTTTAGTGGATTTATGAGAGATAATTATCTAATTTATTTCTATTATTTACTATGGAGAGAGCATTTCAGCAAAGTGTAAACATAATCAGTACACTTCCTTCTATTCCTTACCACATCTCTTTTAATTGTCAACACTAATAAATGAAGTAAGGTACGCGGGTTACTCGTTACTTAGAAGAATACAGTGACCTGATGTAGTGTACAGTATACTGCGTAATAAAAAAGAATTAACTTATCAGTACCACTCATTAGTGATAAATTTAATAATGTATGCTTATTACTATTTAAGGGTAATTGCCGGATAAAAGCAGTTTATTTGCTGGATATCTTTAAATATAACTTTATTTTAAGAGATTAAAATCGAATTCGGTCTAAATCTTTCTTAAATTATTTTTTAAACAAACACTTCGTTATCGTTTTAAGTCGAAAGAATGAATTGAAGAAATAATTAGACAATTAGTACAAATGACTTTTCGTTTTTTCATCAATTATCAGATGATCATAGAAGAAATATAAAATTTTTTTTCAAATTCGAATTAATTAAAAATTAAGTTCAGTTCATATCACTGATAACAATGGACAGAAGTACTTGTTGTTATCAGATTGAGATCCGTTCATTTATATTGATTGTTCCTTCATATCATCCTTCTCATTCTCATCCATCTCACACTTTCATCATTTCTTATTTTCTCCTTTTTTTTTTTTTTTTTTTTTTAACTAAATCTAATTACTCCATTCATTTATTGAAATCAAAATAGGTATGAAACTATCCACACACTCATAATCCATTGTAGATGGATGACCACTCCTTCATTCCTCATTCCTTTCTCTCATCCGTTTATTTATTTATTTATTTTTTCATTCGTTCATTCATTCATTCATTCATTCATTCATTCATTCATTCATTCATTCATTCATTCATTCATTCATTCATTCATTCATTCATTCATTCCTCCATTCGTTCATTCATTCATTCATTCATTCATTCATTCATTCATTCATTCATTCATTCATTCATTCATTCATTCATTCATTCATTCATTCATTCATTCATTCATTCATTCATTCATTCATTCATTCATTCATTCATTCATTCATTCATTCATTCATTCATTCATTCATTCATTCATTCATTCATTCATTCATTCATTCATTCATTCATTCATTCATTCATTCATTCATTCATTCATTCATTCATTCATTCATTCATTCATTCATTCATTCATTCATTCATTCATTCATTCATTCATTCATTTCATTCATTCATTCATTCATTCATTCATTCATTCATTCATTCATTCATTCATTCATTCATTCATTCATTCATTCATTCATTCATTCATTCATTCATTCATTCATTCATTCATTCATTCATTCATTCATTCATTCATTCATTCATTCATTCATTCATTCATTCATTCATTCCTTTTAATCATTCATTCATTCATTCATTCATTCATTCATTCATTCATTCATTCATTCATTAATTAATTAATTCATTCATTCCCATCAATTTTTGATGATATGACGTTGATTTAAATTTTTTATGGCAACTTTTTTGAGCTAAAGATTAATCTTTTAACATCAACGATGTATCTGATGTCCTCATTAGATGTATGCTATCTTCTCATATTGCTCGTCATCATATGTCTGATAGCCTTTTAATCTCTGTTTGATTTCAACAGGTAACATTTTAAAATTATAAATTGTTACCATTTTGATTCTTAAAAGAAACTATTTATTTGTATTCTGTTGACAAGCTGTGCTCTTGTCCAAAAACTTTGATACCGTTTATCATTACTATTATCATTATTATCATTTGGTACTATGCATTAATTTTTTTTTGTAAACAGAATCTCTATTATTACTAAAATTGCATTATTATAATTAATGTTTTCATTATTATTACTACATTATTATTATTATTATCAATAGTATTATTGGTACTATTACTGCCGTTATTATTATTATTATTGCCACTACTGATATTGGAATAGATAATTAACTATAAGGAGAAATCATTGAAAAGTTGTATTTGTTCATTGATAAGGGAACAGTGGCATATAAACCTTAAATAGCTGGTAATCAGTGATATTGCAGAGGAAATTTGTTGGGTTTCGAGACAAGCAACTCCACTGATGGCATTTTAATATGAAGTTGACGACAGTGCGAGTGTATGTATGCCTGTGTTTGTCTCGATGAGCCCCAATCAAAATATTTCCAGAGTTCGGGCCATTTTGGCTTCTCGAAGAGAGATGCGTGCTGCATTTAAGGACAAGAAAAGAAAAGTACCGCCTACTGTTGCCTTCATCCTGCTTCCAGCAAGATTCATTTCCCCATCACTTGTCAAGCTATCCTCCCACATTAACATACATTCCCATCTCCGGTTCATTTATTTATTCGTTTACTTACTTATCTAAACCAGGCGGAGATACAGGTTAGGTTAGATAACTGACTTATAAATTTAGCAAATGAAAATTTTTCAGCGTCAAACTTCAACTAGCACTTAAATTTAACTAGTAAAATCCAAGATTAAGTTCAGTTGTCAAATCACAGCAAGAAGGATGAAATTTGCGAGTTTGATAAAATCTATTCAATTTTCAGTAATTTTTATATTTTCAACATTTCACGAAGCTAAATGTGGCAGCAAGAAAGATGTCGAAAATGAAGGAAACCTTATCCAATTACTCAGTAGCTCGACTTGTCGGTACGGATTCATTCCTCCTAGATCACAATATCAACAAGTCGACAAATGCACCAGCAAAACCATTTGAAAATACTGTAAACCATCATGTTGGGAATTATAACTTCCCTATAAATTCATCTTCAAAAATGATACAACCAATACAACAAGGTTGGTATTACTGCCATATAATTCAATACAATTTTCATGATAGTATAATGTGTTTACGATTTACTACAGTGCATCTTTATACCAGAAGCATATTACTGTATTTGCATAATCGTACCTAGGGATTGATACTCACTATATATTCATCCATTTGTTCCGGAATTTGAATGGGACGCTTTCTGCGAATATTGTCATCATTTATTGGATGAAATATCAAATATTTTTTTTTTCTTTTTATTTGCTATAATCAAGAGAGAAAAAAGCTATCATAATTGATCCGTTCATCATTAAGATAACCAGATTTTATTCACTCATAATTACCGAATTAAATTAAATTAAAACTGAGTAAAGAAATCATTCCGACTAGGACTCATATATCTGCCTGATATAATATGCACTATTAGTACGAAAATGGATGAATGGTTGTAAAAATTAACTGGAAACATACCTGAAATTTAATATCTTACAAATGCATTTTATTTCTCTTAATTCTTTTAATTTCAAAACGGTTTGCTTCATAATATATATTGGTATACACATAATTACACATATAGAATTATTATCAATTATAGGAAAAGAATAAAAAGTACAAGCAGTACATCAGATATGATATGAAAAAGATTTAAAAGAGAAAAAAGAAACCAATAATATAGTTAATAAAAATAAAATTAAGCTTTGATTTAATTTTTTTAAAAGTATTTACAGAAATCCCTAATTTTTTAAAAAAAATTCAAATTCATATTCCGCATTTTACAAATACTATATGAATGTTTATGATTGGTTTGCAATTTTTCATATGAAATATAATGCTGCAATAGTCAATTCAAGTCTTTTTTTAGAACACTGATTTAATTATGATTCAAACCTTTATTATTCAATATTATTTATTCATATAATTGTAATAAATTAATCCCTCAAAGATATCTCTGAAAGGAATACCATCAAATTCTGTTAATTATTTGCAATGAATAAACGGCAAGTATTAAGTTAAAAAACTCATCCATCAATGTTGAAATTGGCAATCATTTTCAGATTACCTATTGCTTTTACCTTTCATAATTTAGTAATAAATTATTTCAAAAACCAAATCTTTTGTTTTCAAATTTTAGTATCAGAGCTTTAGCGTAATATGTATGATATTTGACAATCTGATTCAATATCTTGGATAGAAATGATGGATAGAATACGGTAGATAGATTAATATTGAAGGAGAGAAGGGAAGAATGGGAGTGAGACAAACAACCAATGGCATTGCAGTGATTTGTCATAATCAATGTCCCATTTGAACCTTTGCTAATTATTACTGCTTGTCATTTTCGTCTCTTTAATTCTTATATTTATTCGTCTACTTTTTGTTTAATTACTTATTTACTACATTATTAAGTAATTCATTTCCAATTTAGTTCCATATTAATTATTCGAGTGATCTGTTCGATTAATTCAGCTAAACTTGAAGTTTAATTTTAGTTAAAATTTAAATCAACTTTAGAATTTACTACGGATTGCATAGTTTATTATAAATATAAATATAGTTGAATTGACATGATAAAATTTTATTTATAAATAAAACAACTGCTTTAGAGAAAAATTTAAATTTTGAATTGAACTAGAAAAAGACTTTTTATCTCAAATAAATAACTTTTGATAAGATTTTACTTTATTATTACAAAATATTTCAATATCTCAATAATCAAAATTTGCAGCATATTACCCGTTGCATGCCTTGCAGCAAAGTACATTTCCTGCGCGGTCACTCTATCCATCGTTATCTAACAATGATACTGCAATGCCAAATTCGAATGTGAATCAACTTGCGTGGAACATACATTTGCGACAAGTAGCACTGAACTTGATGACATTGCAAAGGCTGCAAGCTGCAAGTAGTGCCGAACGGATCATTTCTGAAAAGCAATCATACCCAATACATATTACTTCTGCTGTAACTGTAAGCAGTAAAGAACCAAATGTACAATCTTGCACGACTTGCAACAAACTATTCATTAATAAATATTCATTGGAAGTAAATCATTTTATTTTACTTTTTACTTTCAATTCAGGAAAAAACTTCCTAATGTACAAGTAAGAAATTTTTTAAATGTTGAATATCATATTTGTTAGACAAACAGCGATTTGTTTTCATATTTAAAACTTGTAATTCAAATAATTAAACAATTAATGATTCGAACAAATAATATGTTGAAAAGTTGTGGCAACTTCCACAGTGCAATGTTTACTAGCAATTATTATCATGAAGCTACTAACTTACTAACGATGTCAAATTAAATTGAATGAGCTGCTCATCTATTACTATCTTTATTGCTTAAATGTTGAGGCATTGTAAGTAAGAAAAAAATGATGAAATGTTTTATAGGAATGTTCAAATTGATAAGTTATTTTTCGTGATAAAATTGTTATCAAAGTTATAATTCATTATAAGAAGAAAATTTAACAACAGTTAAAATAAATAATAATAGAAATTGTTGATATATGCATATTATTGCGGAATCCTTTTTATCAAAATACTATCAATGATATCAGCAATGATGATAATACTTATAATGGAGTCATTTTTTGGTAGAAGCAAAGAGAAGGACAATGTGTTGCAATATTGAAATTTCTACTTTTGAACTGTCAATTTTTAAAATATTCAATTAAAAACCTTAAAATTTGAAAATCATTTTTTTTTTAGCAACATATTCTTGAGCAACATAACCAATTTTCGAAAATATCTGGTCCCGAGAAACAATTCGAATGCAAGCAGTGCGGTAAAACTTTCAAGCGTTCTTCAACTTTAAGTACTCATTTACTTATTCACAGTGATACAAGACCGTACCCGTGTGATTATTGCGGTAAACGTTTTCATCAAAAATCGGATATGAAGAAACATACCTATATTCATACTGGTAAATGAATTTTATGAATTAATTAATTGAATTGTTTATTTAGTTATTTACTGATTCAATAATTTACTACTTCAGTGTGTCAAATTTCTTTCCAAAATGTGCAAAAATTTTGTTCATGACTGCTAAACAATAATATTTCTTATTTTACAACTTTCTCATCAATTGGAACAATCTTGTTGTACTTTCATTTTAATTTCAATATATTAATGACCATTCAAAATATTTAATACATATAAACATATTAACAAATCTTCGACAGCAAAAGCATACATTTTTATGATTTCATCTGTTGTTATAGTAACATCTGTTGAGCATCTAATTCATATCTTACCAAATTAATTTAATCAAAAATGAATAAGTGATTTAGAAGATGCATAGTTGATCGATGGCTTTCATTGATCAAATATTACTTTTCATTTCAACGAAATTACCATTTTTATGAATATTCTAGAAGATTTATTATTTGCTAAAATTTTCCAATTATCAATCAAAAACTTGTGTTGCTATTTAATAACCGTTACAATTATTGATTGAAAATACCAGTCGATAATTCGCTTCAATGCATTAATTTCATATCTATCTATTATAATATCATAATTAAATGTTACAGTACAACTTAATATTCTATCAATTATACTAAACTGATGTTTCTTCCAGGTGAAAAGCCTCACAAATGCTTGGTATGTGGTAAGGCATTCTCTCAGTCCTCTAACTTAATTACGCATTCACGTAAGCATACTGGCTATAAACCATTCTCTTGTGATATTTGTGGTAGGACATTTCAACGAAAAGTTGACCGTCGTCGACATCGTGAAAGTCATCATTCTAACGAAATTTTCATTCATCGACGTGTGTTTTAATTCTTAAATTTCTTAAAAATTATAATTTAGTAATTGGATTAATTGTCTTCGGATAACTATAAAAGTTGTGATAAAAGTTATGGTAATTAATCAAATCAGTTCGAATTATTTCATTAATTACCTATTTAATATGTAGTTAAGAAAACATTTAAAGCATATTATTCATAAACAGAATTAATGAACCTTGCCATCCCACAACAAAATATGATAAAAATGTTATGAGGAAAAATACTCTGCAAATCATAATTTCTGAATTTTTAGCATTACGAAATGATACGAATAGAAGTACTTCAAATAATTATGCAAATCAAATTAATCAATCATCATTCGTGAACTTAGATCATCTTGAAGCATCAAACAATGCAGTTTTGAATCCGAAACCGGTGCGTTTTTCTATGTCAGAGCCTGATGAGGCATTAAATCTTAGCTCAAAGTAGCAATTGTATCAGATGCTTTTATCATTTGTTCCATCATTTTTCTGCAACTATTCAAATTTCATTAAATTGTTGAATGTCTAAATTTATTATTTATGATTAAGTTAGCTTATTGCATATTTTATTTATTTATGATACTGGTGTCTGTAGATATTTGTTTTTATTAAATCAAAATTTAAATGTCAAACGAATCAATTTCAATTAATTTAATGGCAGTTGCTCTTTCATAATTATTAGACATTTTTGGGAGAGTATAATTACAAAGCTTTCAATTTCACATATCAGGTATTTCATATTTCTATGTGTGTACAAAGATGTTTAATATGCAGGTCAAATTTTCAAAAATATTTCCGAAAAAGAAATATTTTAATAAAAGCAACACTATATGAAAGTGAATGTTACAATGAAAATGATGATAATAAATAATAATATTTATTCATATTATAGCCACATTCATAAAAATAATCATAATATGACAATCAAAAAAAGCATGACACTGTGATGGGACATTTCTTTTTTTTAAACATTTGCATAAAATTTGTTTCCAAATTATATAATACAAAAATAAAATAGATTCTTTTCAAGTCAGCAATCTGACTTTTTTTTTATAAAACTATTTTAGTTAAAAGTTCATAGGAAAGAAGAATTCTATTTTTCTATACAATCTGTATAGGACGAAATGCAAAATTTTCATCTAAAAGAAATAAAGAAAAGTGAAAAACGATAGCAATGATTAATCAAATATTATATTTGTTGTTAGCACGAAATATGTGTTAGCTTTCATTCCTTTTCTTTTATCATTTAACTTATCGTATTACATTCTAACACGTAATTTAGAAAACAACACACTTTTGTTAATTTAAATATTCATTTAACGACAATGTATCCTTTGTTATCCCTCTTTATTCACAGAGTTTTGCTTAATTTTTTTTATATCTTTCATTCTTTTTTCTTTTTTTCTTCTACACTTCTTTCATTTCAAATCTTTTTCATTTATGCTTTCATTTTTTAAGATTATGAAATTGAACAAGATCAATTGTAATATAGTTATGCATACTTAATGCAATTAGATCTGATAAGTAGTTAGTAGTCAATTAAACCAAAACTTGAAATAGATGAATTCGATAACTTAAGTTGCATTCTTTTTTCTACAATGAAATTCAAATAAATATTCATTAGCAATGACAATAACAAAAATAAAGAAAATATGCAATATTGTAATAATATTAGTATTGTAATGAAAGAAACTGGTTGGCTTCGTTGCCGAATGAATGTTTTTGCAATTATCCTTTGAGATGTCACAGTCCTCACATTATTGTCATTTAATTAATCTCATATATTTGTCTCACATGTCAAATCACACTCCTTCTACCTCACTCACGGAGGAAAGGGAAAGAGCAGGAAGAATTGGGCAGTCTTCTTGATTCATCTATTTTCTTCATTCCTACTACTCTTTTCATCTTTTGCAATCTTATTGTCATTTTGATGAGCAGTCTCACATGCTTGTTTGTGATTCCTTCCCTTTATTTCTGTTTGTTAATTTCAATGAAAGTAGCAGCACATATCGTCATTGATAACGGAAAATACGACGACACATCTTTTCCATCTTGTTATGCTGTAAATTTGTTTAAAATTAATGTTCAAAATAAACGGAACAAGATGGTTTGTACTTCAAAGCTTTCAAACCTTTACATTTCTCTCCATCTCTCTCCCTCCCTTTCTCTCTTGTTACTAATTTCTATTCTTTTCCTTGTTTTGCTTTATTTTATTTTTTTTGCCCTTTTTCCCTATTAAATTAGAAATTATCGAAAGTTGAAATGAAAATCTAAGGGACAAATGGATAATTTAACAAAATATTTTTTAACAAGTTTTCTAAAAAAAAGTTTAAACAGTTTAAAAGACGAATAAACAAACAAACTATTATGTATTTAAGCGTTAAATTCATTGCCCAGTGTGATATTTTGGATGTTTCATTTCAATAAGTAATTGAAATTACTTAATGTCTAATTAACTCATTATTGTATTTATCAAAGTTTTGTTTACCCTTGTTTTGCCTGTAAAATACTGTAGCGAAAGAATTATTTTGCAATTGAAGAAATGAGTGATGAGTATTTCAGATTCATAAATATTAGTTAGGAAAGGTATGAAATATTGCTTTCAAAGTTATTTCTCGTCATCTCTTGGAAAAGCTGCAAATGAAGCGGAAAAATTCGGAAGCAATCCAATTGAAGCTTCTCTTCCCATCATATGCCATATATTCAGGAAACAATCAAATGAATTGCTTTTAGCAACGAAATTCTGTTAACCGGTAATAACGGATGGTTGAAACGATGATGAATGGATATTTATCATTTTTAAACCGCAATCATCAGTTATGCGTCTACGAACAATCACTCGCTTTTGCTACCTCGATAGTTGTAACTAACACATTTATGAAATAATAATAAAGAGATTATCGGATCCGGACAAATGGCTGATTTTTTAAAAATTTAAGAACGATAAAGTTTCCCGTTCCTTTAGTATTTAAGGAAATTCATCATATATTAATAAATTTTGCAAATTAAATTAGATTATCCAAAAAAAAAAAAAATAGAGATAAAATTTCAAGTTTATAATATGCCATTTGAACAGCAATAATTAGAAATTTTTGTTCAGTTAATGGCAAAAAAGATTTACTTTTGATGAAAAACGATTCAGAGTGTGTGCAGTCAAATATATCATTCAATTATTCATATTCCTCGTAGATATATGCAATTATTAATTAAAAGATGAATAGAAAAGATTTGATGACTTCATTTATGTATAATTGTTGATGCAAAAAGAAAAAAAATCTTTTGAGAAAAATTTTGGAAAACTTGCAGTGTAAAGTTGAAAAAAAAAAACGACTTCTGCTTGATATTTATGAGACAAATCAAAAGCCATGCAAAATCTATTATGAATATTTTAAAAACTCGGAAGGGAGAAGCAAATGTTTATCATGGTAGGTTTATTGCCAGGAAACTATGTCCTCCGGGAAAACCGGACTAAATCAATCAGCTCTTTCCTCTTCAACTTAAATCCAATTCTTATTGGTTTTTGTCTCGGAATTTTCTTTTATTCAAATACTATTTATATATTATCAACATTTAAAAGTGAAAAAAAAAAAAAAAAAAAAAAAAGATTCTTCTTTTCTGATATAATTTTATTATGACAGAGAAAATTTAAATTTGGAAATTACAGGAAAAAAACAAACAATTATGTGGAAATAAGCTGAAAAATGCGCACATTTAGAATTAAGAATCTATTTTACAAAAAATTTAAGCTACGTAATTTCAGTGTGATATGAAAAGATAAAAGTTAGTTACAATATTTTTTGAAAACATCAAGTATACCAACAAAGCTTACTTTATTTATGTCCCAATAAAAATTAAATAATTCAAGTTTATTAAAAAATCTTGATCGACATGGATAAACTGCATTAAACAATTTAATATCTCGAAATGGATGAAGCTTTTTAGGAAGTCTCATCATGCTAAGCTCGCATGACTCTGTGCCAATGATTGATGATTAAGAGAAGTAGTGCAGATTTGAATTAAATTTTTGCTAAACTATTTCACATAAGCCGAAAGTTATTCGATGAAAGCTACTTGATGTAAATCGAAAGTTGTTGAATGTTAAACTATTTTACCTAAGTGGAAGGTTGTTTAATAATAGCGAATTGGAGTTACGACTTTAGTGTCAACAGCTGAGATAATTCAAATGGCTTTAATGTTCAGAATGACAAATGAATTAAGCCAATTTGACATATACTTAAAATGCATTTCAATGACTCAGTGCGCTTATTTACAACTCGTAATGACGCCATAAATCTATTTTTCTTACCATTGAAATCTATCTTTTTACGTAATTGCTTTTAAAATTATTGCTTTAAAAATTTCCCTAAAATGAAAAAAAAAAAAAGGATTATAAAAGACACAATTTTTCATTCAGATATAAGTTAATAAGCTAAAACACAATGATTTAAGTAATTTAGCGCTGACAACTTTCAAATATAAAAGTGATAAATGGTATTATTTCTGTGACAAAAAGTTATTGATATCAAAATTGCTATGACTACTAACTGATCCTTCAGATATCATACATCACAAGGGCATTCGGTGTTATAATTTGACACAGTGTTCGATATTAGCATATTATGATCACAACATTCATCTATCACAGTCTATTACCTTCCTTTCATGCATGCAGTGTCGATATTATCGATTACATCCGGTAATAATCAGCGGAATACTGTAATTTAAAATAACAAAATTTAAAAATACACATTTTAATACTTTTTTTGATAGAAACTGTAAGATTACGAAAATAAAGAAGAAATTAAGAATGGATAAAAATGAAGAATAAAAAACAAATATCATATATTTTGAAGTTATTCATTTGGTTCCTATTATTATCATTGATGGATGAATTCGATGGATTTATTTTTATAAGTGATAGAATTTAAAAATGACCAGTTGATAAGAGTAATAGTTATTGTTATGGTTTCACTTACGAATTGAATTAAGTGGTGTTTCATTCATTTGAAAAATTTTACCGTTAGCATTAGATATATGGATATATTAATTACTTTTGTTGAATAAGGATAAAATTGAATTAAGAAGCAAAATTAAAGTGAAATCAAGCGCATGACACGTTAGTTAGCTATAATTCATGTACATGAATGATAAGGATCCAAATTATCAGAAGTGATATTTTTAAGAACATACGAAAAATTGAAAAAAACTTTTTCTTTACCTTTTATAAGTTCCCATAAGAATATGAATTTGATTCTGTTCTTGCACATTTTTTATCTCGAAATTTAGCTTACCTTTATTTTAAATTGTGATACTTGCTGATTAATGCTGCGAATGGTCCATCGTTTCTTACATCTTCCCACGCATTCCCACTGCCAATCAGTTGTCGACCTTTCTGTCGGGATATTGCCGATTTCGTTTTTTCTTGCTTCGTTTTGAACTTTCCGAAGTGTTGGCTGTTTTCAATGAAGCGAGCTTTTCTTACCTTTTCTTTTGACTTTTACCTTACTTTCTGAACTTTTAGAGTTATAGCTTGAACTGTTTTTATGGGATCTGCGTGAATTTGAATTCAAATTTCCCTCCAAACTCTCCAGCTTTTTCTCTTTTGTCCAATTAGATTTCCTAACATCATTTTTTAAAAGTTTATTCATGAAGTTCTGATTCACAGAAGCCTTTTCGGATGTGCTAAATTTATTTGAAAGTGATGACAAATCTATTTTCTTTTAAAGAATTTGTGACGCATTCTATTGCAGTGAATAATTTGACGAAATTTTGTTTGATGTGACAGGTTACTTTATCTACTTATTGTATTCCTTCATGATAGTGATGCAGATGAAGACGTTTCCGAATGCATACTAACATTTGAAGTTCGATCAAATTTCTGCAGATTTCTTAAATTTTCTTTTTCGCTGGTACTAGTACGAACTGTTCTTTTACCAGATTTTGCACTCTTTATCATTTTCCGACTGCTTTTCGGCTAGAATTTTTATCATCCAACTAATTTTTTCCTGATTTCTCATTTTTTGAAGACGACAATGGAAATATTTTAATTGATTTTTGATTTGTCCTTTCAAGTGAATTCCTTCTTGCTTTATTATTAGTTAAAATATCTGATGAATGCTTACTAATCCATTCTTTCTCTCTTTTTAACTGTGCTTCCACTTTTTTCTTTTTTCCTTTTCTCCTAAAAAATTCCTTTTCATTTCGAGCTTTTTTTCCAAATTAAGTCGAAGATTTAATTCTCTCCTTAGATTTCGTTCTCCATCACTTCTCATTTTTCGTAAGCTATCCATTTCTGTTGATTGCTCTTTTCTTCGTCTCCCAATCATTTTTTTGTCTTTTAACTGTTTTGTGCAGAAAATTTCTCAGTTACTTCTGATTCTGAACATTTTTTTTTTCTGACGATTTATTATTCACTGTTTCTGGCTCTTAGCAATAGTAGAGGTGCTACTAGCAGATGTGCCATAATCATCGCTTACCTACTTTTCGATTGAGGGTGGTATTTGCTACATCTATTTTTTGGCTTCCCTGTGATAACCGATCGTCACCTTTATTAGAATGTTTGGGTTTATTTTATAGTTTCGCTTATCGAACATTCTTTGACCAGAAGGCAATTTTCGTCGACGTTTCAAACTTCTTACTGATGTATCACTGCTGTTATTCTGCATTCTTGAATCGCTTGACTTGAAATTACTACATTTGAAGATTTTCTATAAAAATAATACCCATGCTGATACATAGGTCATATTTATATGTGCATCATATTACGTAGTCAGAAAACTGTCCATTTCATCTCCTGAACCATATCTTATATTTCAAAGTAATAATATTTGAAACCTGTTCCTTTAAGTGTATTTTAGTATACATCTGATGTTTTAGACTTTTCAGATCTTGCTTCCGGAATTTTTGCAGGTGTTAGTTTGAAATCCTGTAATTCAGCATTTTTGATAACAGATAAGCAACCCCATTTGAATTTATCACGATCGTATTGATAATTGATTTGTATTTGGATGAATTATTGTTAAGATTTGATGAAGAAGAACATTATCCAACGACATTGATATGACATTTTGGTTTTGGAAGTTAATCGATTATTGTTTTGTTTCTTTTCAGAATAAATTTATAATTCAGTGAAAAAGGATGAAAAAACTTGTAAACCATCTGCTATAAGCGTTGCTTCAAGTCTTCTTCAACAATGCTCCTTGCTGTCTGATGGCTTTTCCGGTTATTTCTAATTCTTTCCGATAAGCTACGGCTTTGATCCTTAACATGAGCTGTTGAGACATCCTGGTGAGCAGTTAACACCCATTTGATCTATCACAATTTCGTCTTTGTTATAGAATATTTCTTTAATGCATTATCATTACTCATAAAGTAACTAATGCTCAAATATTTGTTGATCATGTGATATGGTAATATTATAGCAACCCTAGAAGAACCTTAACTTATCAAAGCTAATCATTTTAATCCAATTCTATTTTGTTGAAATAAAAAGCAAATGGAAGCTCCAGCAATAACCGTCTAGGAGATATCAATAATTTATTCGCCGTATGTTCCCGATGACGGATTAGTTTCTTCTTTTTGTGTGAAATCGCTTGCTCTCGTACCTCTGAAGCTGAGGATATAAATAAATTTAAAGCTAATGAATTATTAAAAATAAAAGTATTCCAGGAAATTAAACTTACTGCGGCGTAAATCTAACTGCTGCTGAAGCCATTCCTTCTTTCGCTTTTTAGCTGCTTTGAATAGCCATGTGCCTGGGCTTTCTTTAATTCACTAAAATCACTCACATTAATATAAATATCAACAAATTTTAAATTTCAAACTTTCTTATTCAAATATGTAAAACTTGTCAAAATTAAAAAATTCATCTTTGTACCTGTTTTTGATTTTTCACTTGATGATGGTTTATTCCTAAATTAGTATGTCAATTTTCTTTATATTAATTATATCAAATTAGATTACATTTGCCTTTGTTTTGGTAAAAAAAAGATTTACAAATATTGTCGTGAATTTGATGAACTTTTTGGCCGGAAGAGATGATTTAGATTAGTTCTTGACTTACGTGAAGTTTGTAGAACTTGAACTGAAGCTTTTGCTTCTTATCTGCAAGCGAGATCGACCTACAAATATATAGTGGAGTAATTGAAACAGCAAAGGAGTAAGTGGTACTGTTGAGTGAGTAGGAGGAAGAGAAGACTGCACCGATCGTTTCGTTGTTGTTATCAGATTAAAGAAGGCTTTTAAGGATGTAGAAAGTGGGCTGGGTTGGCTTAGCAGATTAACATTTACAGTGAAGACAGATGTACATTTACTATTTGAGGTTTAGATAAAGGATTCATTGTTTCAAAAAAAAAAATTGGATATAACAAAGGAATAACGAAGTGGTTTGTAGTGATGAATCATTAGTATTATTCTAAACACTTACTGTGTAATAAATATTTTTTTCCTGTTTTCCGACAGATATTTGAAAGAACTGAGCTAAATAACCTATGATGAGTGCTTTGTTGAAGTTCTTTAAATTTCCCTTATCTTTAGGAAATCCTTGAATTTTTGCATTTTTTCTTTTTTTGCAATAACTTTATGACTTCATTAATGAATAATCAACGCATGTGGTATGAAATAATGTTTAAGCATGTTAAAATTCAAAATTTTCACCTGACGACAATTCCTGAGTTAATTCAGCGCGCAAATTTTCTGAAACAGCTTAACATTACTTCGCTTAGCAGATCTTAGTTGATGAAAATTGAGTACAACTCAGATTTTTAAGACTTTATAGCTTTACTGGCTTACTATCTTGTTTTTTTTTTTTAAAAAAATAATTTCATTTGTTAATTTTCTTATTTAACGCTTTTGTTTTACTTTTTTTTGTAATAACACTTATATTTTTACATGTACATAACTAAGTTCACTAGCAAATACTGAAATATTTTTATTATAAATTTAGTTTCATTAAATTTCAAACGTTTTACTAATTTTAGTTCTTATGGGTTTTTCCTACCCAACTTCTCCTTTATCCTAGTTCGGGAGTTCACGTAGCTTAGCTCGGAATGATTTCATTCTCGGCGCTCCTTTTTTCATTTTCTGTTATTTTATCAATAATTATGTTTGCTAAATGCACAAATTAAACCTGCAGCTGTTGACTCCTATGACTTTTGTAATTATAATTTTGAATTGGCTCTTTCTTCCATCATTTTGGCGATTAACTTTATCACTTTGATAACTAGACATATCATTTTGTCGCTGATATGAGCTATCAATTTCTTCTCCTTTTAATCGTTTTCGTAATAAAAAACTTCGTAATGTTTTTATGTTTTAATTAACATGCTTAAGTTTGGAATGTCTTCAAGCACGTATGATACGTCTTACTCGTTTTCGACTTGATTGCCCTCTTTCACTTCATTCTTTTCGTTCTTGGGCCTATAATGCATCAAATCTTGAAAAAAGGAAACAAATGTTCTTTTATCTTTCAATAAATTCTATTTAACATTCACTCACTAATTACTCACCCTACGAATTTTAAATCTTGCTAAGATCTAAACCATGGTTTAATCGTTTAAATCGTATAATATTTTACCAAAAAACAGATAACGTCGCTTTTCAATTTTGCTAGCTATCAAGTAAAATCTGAAGTACGTTCAATTTATCCGTCATAACTTAAGCAACTGATTGGCTGATTGATTGATTCGATATCAGTTTCGTCTCATCACCTCGATAGATCTCGTATCTTTTTTTTTTTTTTTTTTTTTTGTTTCTTTGGCACTAATTTGACAAAACAAAAAACTACATAAACACTTTTCAACCAATACATATTTTATCAATTTCCAGTTGCTCTTCTCTTTCAGGATCTATTCCTGAAAAAAATTCCGAATATTCCATATACATATGCATAAATATTCAACTTATATAATGAAATTTTGAATCAATCATTTACTCACAAAAAATTATTTCTTCCGCATTTGTTCCAATTGTGGAATTAGCCGGAGAATTGAACTTTTTAAAATAACCAAATATGTTTTTCACTTATACTTCCTTTCTTTTTTCTCTCATTTACACTTATTACGTCGAAAAAAGTGAAAACCGGTCTGGGAAAGAAAAAGAACCGTAAAAACTACCAAAAAGAAAAGGAACAAGAAATGTTGTTCCAAATCAATGGTATGAGTATTCTAAAATGATGTTAAAAAAAATTAATCTACTGAACGGTAAAATAATTAATTTCTTAAAAAATTTTCAAAACATTCATATCAAAAAAACTTATCACTCAATAATTGTCACATATCAGAATAATATCGATACTATTATTTTGGTATATGTATAAATAGGATAAGACAATGAATGTAGGCTTTATACATTTATAAATTCTCGATTGGCTTTGTCCGATTGATTAATAATATCACTGATATATCAGGACGAAATGCAAATTCTTCCTTTTACTATAACATTTAACTGGCTTGTCATAATTTTACAAATTTTAATTGATTAATTAATTAAATGAAGTAAAATCGTCATGCTACCAATAATATTTTTTCTCTCTTAATGATGTGGTATATGAAATTTAGAAAAAAAAAAAAAAAAAATTAAAATTCAAACCTTCATCATCACGTAACCGCCTTAATTGTTCCAATTTATCCTTTCGCCTTCGATGTGCAAGGGACTCTAATTGTTCCTTTGGACAAGTACCTCTTTTATCCAAATAATTATTGTTGATATGAACCAACACAACGATAATGAAATAAGATTGATGTCTTTTGAAAATTTAAATGTTCGAACTTAAATTTTAACCTTTAGTAAAAAATTAGTTTGATTGTTTGTTGTTATCAGAACACTTAATCTGTTTGATGCTTAAAATATTAAGTAAATAGTGCAATACAATAAGAAATATTCAGATGAGCATGAAAAAATCCAGTTAATAATATGTATAATTTGATATGATAGAAATATATAAATAGATGGGAAGAA